GAGCAGGGACCGCCGAGCGCAGGAGAACCCACCCGGCCGCCCGAGCCTCGGGGCCCTTCCCCTAGTCCTTCCTCCTTGAGCGAGAAACAAAGATTTTCAAATCTGCAGATTCTGGGGATTTCCTTCTCAATATCAATCAAGTGTTTGTACTTGGTTAGGTCATGAACTCGGAAACTGGGCAGGGGGGCGAGGAGAACAACTTTATAGATGATTTAATATAATTTTGGAGGGTGAAAATATAATTTTAAAAGTCTTTTTAATGAAGCAAAGAAACATGTACCCAGTTTTTCATGCGGATTTAACTAATGAACTGAATGTTGAAGGGGCGAGTGTGTGTGTGTGTGTGTGTGTGAGAGAGAGAGAGAGAGAGAGAGAGAGAGAGAGAGAGAGAGAGAGAGAGAGAGAGAGAGAGAGAGAGAGAGAGAGAGAGAGAGAGAGAGAGAGAGAGAGAGAGAGAGAGAGAGAGAGAGAGAGAGAGAGAGAGAGAGAGAGAGAGAGAGAGAGAATAGCGCTTGAGCCACTGACCTGCCCGTTGTTGTTTGAAGCTCCTTTGTTGTTTGTAAGTTTTAATTTTCCAAAAGAGATTTCTTGGCGCATCCAGTGAGCCCCCGTGTTGGGGGAATCCGGATGCATATAGACCCGATTTCCTAGAGAAAGAAATATGTTGTTTACATATGCCCCGGGCACTGCCCAGTCCCAACTCCTCGATGCGTAGGACACACACACACACACACACACACACACACACACACACACCTTATTCCATTCCACGTAGAGGCCCATTAGCGGGGGGGCTTTTTAGGCCGCCTTTCTTCCGATTAGCTGGGCACCCTATTAAAATAGCTTTTGGATAATCCTCCCCCTTCTGTCTGTCCCCCGTCCCCCTCGTTTCCTTTTAGAAGTCATTGGCCGATCGTTTTAAAAGTCGCCCGAGCCAGTCCACAAAGGCTTTAATTAATCATTCTCACCTAAGTAAGTGTCAGGGAGACGTGTTAATTGGAAGGACTTGCCTTGCACATTGGTGTCCGCTTTGCCGCAAGGAACCCATTTGCCTCCTTGAAACCTCCAGTGATTGGGATCCGCCAAAATCACATCCACAAAAATATTGTAATGAGCCGTGGGATCGAGACCAGAAATGTTAAAACTTAAAAAAGGAAACATGCGCCTGTTTAAATTAAAGGAGGGGTGGGGGGAGAGAGAAAGAAAGCAAGGAGGAAAACATAAATGTTAAAGATTAAAAGCAAGAAGCGCGGCGCCAGATAGCAAAGCAAAACTTGTTCGCTCAGCGTCGGTAGCAAATGTTTGCGGGGTTAGAAAAGGGGTTCGAAAGGGGGTGGTGGGGAAGGGACGGAAGCGCGGCCGAAGCCCGGGGTGGGGGAGCCGGCAGGTATGGCCGCCTAGGTGGAGAGCAAGGCTGGCGACCCGCGTTTCCACCTGTCGTGCACCCCGGCGTCCCTCCCCACTCGCGGCCGCTGGCCCGGTCTCTCCCTCGCTTTCGCCTTTCTCTGCCCACTGACTGCCTTTCCGACCACCTTTCTGGAGAGGGATCCCCCCACCCCCAACATCACCGCGGTGGTTCTACCTTCCACTTCCCCCTTCTCCAAAACCAGCCAACTCTAGGGAGCACCAGAGCGCCTTCCACTCGGCTCCCGATCCCGAATCCTCGCAGCCGCGGCGGTCACAACGTGCCCCCCGCCGCCCCAGGAGTAGCGGCAGCCGAGGACGTAGCATTTACCTTCCCTGTTTGGTGATGATCATCTCCGTTTGGTGCCGGTGAAATTTCAGCCAAAGGGGCCTGTTGCACAGGTACACCTGCGCTTTGCCGGGCACGAGCCCGGGCTGCGTGGAGGAGAACTGGTAGAACGGGGCTCCTTGGTAGGAGTGGCCGTACTGCTGTGGGTAGGGGTAGCCGGCCGCGGGGTAGCCCTGCGGTGAGGAGTTGGACAGGAGGCTGTTGTAGGCTCCGTTGGTGATGACTGGGTGGTGGGCCATGTAGCGGCTGGGGCTGCCAATGGAGAAGGCGGGGTGCGCGGGTCCGTGCTGGCCGGGGTACGGGAACATGGCACTGGGAGCAGTGGCCGCAGACTGTGGCTGGCTAGACTGAGAGAGGAGGTAGCGATCTGCAGCAGAGCCATCGAAACTGTGACGAAGCTCAGAGACCCCCTCCAAGACAGGAGAGAGTTTACTTCTCTGGACGTCCCCTGGTGAGTCCTTGGAGTCAGGAAAATTGTCTGTATCTGACTGATTCGTCATCCCCCTGGTAATTTTTTTCAAAGGTGAACTTCTCTCCAGGTTGTCAGTCGTCGAGATAATGGGATGATCGTGCAAGACAAGCTCAGATCCGCCTGAATGTGGGTAGCTGCTGCTCACATTGAGAAATTTCTTGGAGAGCATGATAGAAGGAGAAAGGCAGTGCTCCAGCTGCATAGCTCTAGAACCTGAACACTCGCCCTCCTGTCCCTGATTTTTAAAGTCCTATTTATCATAAACTAGAAATCCACAGACCCCCTCAGTAGGCAGAAAGCACTTCATCCAGCGAATGCTTCCCAAAGGTTTGATTTACTTTTTTTTTTTTCTCCTGGGAGAAGAGATTGGCCAATTGACACTATGCAGCAATCAGAAAAGGCTCGCTCACTTTTGATCTTGCTGCTTGTGCAGCCGATGAAACGGCTCCTGCCATTGGTTAACTGCTGACAGTAATTTAATTAGATAGACATTAATTAGGATAATCACCTGGCTCCTGGTCGCGATGATCATGGCAAATTGAAGGGGATGATTTTATTGTTGACTTGGGGTGGGGGGTGGGGAATGTGTGTTGGTTTTATGTGAGCACTGTTGTGTCACCTTTAAGCTCTGTGACCACTGCTTTAGGAAGATTCAAAGACGTGCGATTTACTAACCATTTTCCTACCCCCCACCCCATTCCTCCTTTCGAGCTGAGGGGCGGAGGAGGGAATTTGACGATGCTAGGAGACTTCGGATCTGAATGAGCCAAATATTCAGTTGAATGTAACGATTTCAAGTGCAAAGTATACAAAGCGCGAGCTGGTGGCCTCTTCTCGCCCTGTAAAAGTTCCAGAATCTGTCTTTTCCAGTTAATACAGAAGCACACAACACCTGAGCCAGTCCTGTGTGTCCTCGGCGACCCCCACCCCAACATACACCTTTTAAATTCCTAAGTAAATAAATCACTGCTGCCGAGAGTCAGAGCGATGAAAGTGGGCGGGAAGAGGGAGAAGTGGGGGCGAAAAGCAGCAACTCACTCACCCATCCACCGACCTCCGGAAGGTTCGGTTTCTTGGGTGAGCACAGAACAGTGAGAACCTATGATCTTTTTAAGTTTTGAAATAATCATAAGCTGTCGGATTGAAGTGCCTTACTGTACTCGCAGTGACGTTTAAGAGGTCTTCACTAAATATTTTATCAGCGAGCTTGGTTGCATGTTATCTGAAGAGCATCTAACTGGGGGCAGGCGCCCCGCATCCCTCGCGTCTCACTGCACGACATTCTCTCCAAGGCACTGCCTCGGCGACAGGTTCAAAAGCCTCACCAGAAAAGGAAAGGGCCGCGTCCTCCTGCAAATGGGTTCGTTAGAAGCACTGATCTGTGGAGACAGAGTGGAAGTGGTGTCAACACAGCGATCGCTGCTGAAGACTCGTGTGTGTGTGTGTGTGTGTGTGTGTGTGTGTGTGGTGTATGTGCACGCGCGCGTGCGCGCAGTGTTTATATAATCTGGAGAGGAAAAGAACCCATGCCAATAATTTTAAAATGCGAAGAATCGGAGGAGAAATTGAGAAAAGAAGCAATTAAAGGATGTTGGCATAAATATCTAGCACGAGGCCCAACGCAACCGCAGGTGTAGAGGAAATCTAGCACTCGCTCTGCGGAGGAGCCAGCCCCTGCCCGGACCGCGCCGGACCGGAGGGCCAAGAGCAGCAGACGCTTTGTGCGCCCAAATCGGCTCCCCCTGGCACGGCA